CTATTATAGTCCCGCATTGATTTCTGGCCAGTGAAGTGATGTTTCTGTCACATTTAGGAAATTGTGGGGGTTTTATTACTAATCTTATTTTCTTTAGTTTCTTGTAAATAGTTTTTGTATGCATATTGTAAATACTCATTGGGGTTCATTTTTTAGAATTGTTGTTTTATTCCCCCCCCCAGAGACAATGAATTGTAAATATGGGGACTAGTTAGTATTTTCATAGAGACAAAAAGGTATTATGGTGGTTGTAGTAAGAAAGGTACGAATGAATGTGTTGTTTTGGTGTAAGGAATATTGTTTCGTATGTTTGGGTCAGTGCTTGCGGCTAGCTAAGTTATAGTTAAGACAGAAGAAGACCGTCCTTTCCCCAATCCCCTTTTTGGCCTTGTGCCACATTTCTGTATTGTACAGAATAAATATCGCTTTCCTCTTTAGAACCTTGACTTTATAAATTCAAGTGCAGTACTAGAGTAGCAGTTAGGTTCTATCATTTTACAGCTGAAATGGTTAAATACAACCATAAGTTCTATGCTAACAGTTTCTTCCTTTGCACTTCTCACTTGTGGAACTTTCTTCCACCCTCTTGTTTTCCAGTCTACTTTGATCTTCAACTGGCCATGGTTATGACAAAATTGACAAAATTCTCAACAAGCAGAATTGACAAATTTTTCAATAAACAATAAGAGGAGGAAGAAAAAGAACAGGGTAACATTATATTAAACAAACACTATATAATATAAAAAAGCAAATCAAATGTAGGCAAAGCAATAGTAAAAAGGCAAAGTAAGAATTGTGTTCAAATGCAAAAGGGAGACAATCAAGTGGTTATAGCATTCTGGCTTCAAGGCAAAAAAAAAAAAAAAAAAAAAAAAAACATGTGAGAGATTAGACCAGAAATTGTTAAGAAGAAATCCCAGTATGCATCTGCAGAATTTGTCTACAAATTTGGGGAGGGGATATTCTTAGCAGTCATTTCTACAGAATGGAACCAATATAGTCAAAAATTTAAATGCAATATCAATCATTACCTTGACTCTTCTTAATTCCCATTCTTTTATTGTTCTTTCATATGTTTTTCTCTTTCTCATATACTTTCACGTTCAGTGTGACTTAATGACTTTATTGCCTTGCTTGGAGTGAAATGATTAAAAAAATGTTCTTAGGTTAATGTTTTAATGTTATCATGTGGTGTTGGACAAAACTACTCCAAGTGCAAAATAATCAATATATAAATTTTTATGAACTGGTATCAGGAAAATAATATTTTTTAAATAAAATCAGTAAATTTCTTGTGATGTTTACTGCTTTTCTCTATAATTTGTCCCTATAACATTTGAATTTGTGATATCTCATGCGGCAGTTGTGAAAGCAAATTGACAAAGATTATCTTTTTTCTTTCTTACAGTTTCGCTTAGTATAAATGATTGATATCATTTACTTCTAACTGATTCTATGGCTACAAACTGAGTAAAAAACATGGTCAAAATTGTTTTCAAAATAATGAGAAACAACTTTGTTAAATTCCCCAGCAGATAGAAAGTAGGTGTCAGCGAATGATGAAATTTCACTATCAGCAGAGTACTAGGAATTCAACTAAAGGAATAAATTATACTTAAAACTGTATTTTTATACTAAAAAAATTTTTTAATTTTATGAACTTGTGGTCTGGCAATGATGAATAGGGGAGATTTATTTTTCACTTTTTTTTAGAAAATTAACATTGAACTTTAATGTCTACCAGGTGAGTTAGTAACAAAATGAACTACTCTTGGATCTTGCTTCATTTGCAGATATGTTCAGATTGAAGATGTCTTCTTAAGTAACATCCCCATCTCCTAGACAATCAACCTATGTAATATAAGTGCCAGAATCACACAAAAACAATGCAACCAAACACTCCAAACAACCAGCTTACAGAAGTCCTTACAAGGTGGTGAAATATATAGAGAAACATTTCACAGTTATAATTAATAATAGACAAGAGAATATTTTCATTAATCAACTAAAACTGACACATTTAGAAAATATTTGTGAGGATTCATTAGAAGCCACCAAACAGACACAACCTAGAACATCAATGAGCAGTCATCATATTAGATGGCCTTAGAAACCATTTTCTTACCTGACATAGTAAAAATTCTCTTTCTTGAAATTATTATAAAACTTACTTGAAAAAGGGTACTGTATTGCCTTGATAAACACAGTACTTGCAGTAGCCCTTAATAAGCATAGTATTAGTAGCAGTCCTGAGAATTTTTTTTTCCACACTCCACTCTCTCTTTCATAAGCAGGATGTGGCAAGCATTTTACTGCTCTATTGCTAATACCATGGAAAGTGCTTGGATGTTCCATGCAAATAGCTTCTTCCCACAAAACACTGCCCTATAGAACAGACACCCTAGTGAATATTTCCCCAATCACAACAATCTTTACCTGTTCGAGTCATACAGTTATATTAACAGATTTTCACTCACAAGGCTTTGGTCAACCCGTAGGATGGTTTCCAGACACTTTCAAAATTTGACGTATGATAGGATTTCCTTTCCAGGCCAATATGAAGAATATTCTTGATAAATTGCCCATAGTGAGATTCAAATTTGGATCTCATGGTCAGAAAGTGAATGTTCTAACCTCTCGGTCATGCACCCATGTCATGTATAAAAAGAATAATATTCTATGAGAAAGACATCTTTTTCATTACAATGAATCCAAAAGATTTGCAGATATACCAACACCATGATGGTTTTTCTTTGTAGGCTTCAAAATAAATTTGATCTCTTAAAAGAGAAATTAATGAACACAAGAAGATAACACTTATAACATCCCAGACAAATGTGGCAAAAAATTTAAGGCAGAAACCCACTGGTCCCTGAAAGTCAGACTTTAAGAAAATAAAATATGGTAAAGACTTACATGCTAGGTTTTGAAAAAAGCACCGAATTATCTGTGTATTGCCTGAGTGGGGGGGGGAGCAGAAATGTAACACCAATTTTGAAACCAGTTACATCTGGGCTATTGTTTGGCAGAATTTCCATTCAAGGATTTGCCAGTTTTTTTTTGCATCAATAAAATGCATGCAATCAGGCAGATGGCAAGAAAGATTGATGTGTTGATGTTAGTTACATTACCTTCAAGTGTTTGTCTTGGATATTAGTCATTTCTTTTTGGTGATAATGTCACCTGCTGAATTGTCCCATGTGTTGTGTTAGTCACCCTTTAAATGAAAGGATCCCCTACCAATTGCCCCCTGTGTATTTGCATTAGCCCTCTTTATGTGAGAGGGTTGTTGCAGCATTGCTCCTAGTTAGATGCAAAGCAGTAAAACCAGAATTTACACACATGTAAATGATAGGTGTAAGGAAATGGAATAAATATCAACAAGGTGTTGTTTTAAATTTCTTATTTATATAACCAAGTAACTAAGGAGAGAAAATACACTAATGTACAGGTAAAAAGAATGAAGACATTAAAATTTAGGGATTGTGTGGATGATACATGCATGTACGTGTGTGTGAAAAGGTTCAGTCACTAAGGTGAAATAAGCATATTCCTATGCCTGGGAACAAGGATGCCAATGATGCATGCTCGAAGGAAATATGAGGAGAAAGGACAAGAAGTGTCCTGGAATTTTTTTTTTTTTTTTTATAGTTGTTTGAAAGTTGCAACCTAAAAATTACTTGGTGAACCTAAGTGGAGGTAACCCATAGTCAGCTATCAATTGCCCCCTATTGCATTTGTGTTAACCTACTCTTGGTGAAAGAGTCACTTACCAATTGTCCTAGTGTCTATTTACATTAAACCACCATTATTACATCAACCTATATAAAATCATGTAAACATTTCCTAAAAACATTATTTGAAGAACAAGTCAGAAATGTACTGATCAGAAGATTTTAAGATTACAAGATTGATTATCTAATAAGTAAAAAAAAATGTTAACAGACTTCAAAAGTGAAAAGTGCTGCATCTTTGTATTCTGTACATAATTATGAAAGTGAAAAAAGAGATAGGCACACCAAGAAGTGAAGAGAATAAAATGATTGTTTCTATCTGGCAAAAGATCCCACTTTCATTATATTTGTTTGTGGGTAAAAAGATAGCAACAGTTAAGATACTGATCATGTATAGAAAAAACAACTGAGACAGTAAAGAAGTGATGTAATTAAAATACTGCTCACATGGAAATGCTGATTAACAGCTTGTTGAATATTCATTTTAGTAGAAATTTACAAACACTGAAAGTGAACACAGTGAAAGGGAGTAAATCATTTTCAATATATGTAGCATAAATTTAAACAGAAAATCAACTGATTACTGAAAAATAAATATGGATACTTGTCAGTTTGAAATCAATTTTAAGGAATTGATTGTTTATTACAAAATCATACTAATCTCTTTTTCTAATTAGTTAGAGAAAATATAATTTTTAAGTTGCATTTGAACAAGAAAATGCAAAAAAATGTCTGCTGCAGAGATATCTAAAGGTGAAATAGAAAATTTTATTATAGCAAATCATATCAAGAGGGAGAATGAAACATATTACCCACCCTGGGATGATGTTCAAGTAATAGGATGCAACAGTGGAAGAAGAGAATGATTATTATCAAAGAAAGAATTGAATAGACTTCCCATGTAAAAAAAAAAAAAAAAATATGGAATCACTTTTGTTACACAAGTTGCTGACAGTGGAGTTGTTGTAAAAGAGTTTACAACTTAGAATAGGATCTCCATTCTTGGAAAAAAGTTATTCCTTCAATTTTTCTGATTGATTATATTCCTAAAGAAGACTGGACAAAAAAAAAAAAAAAAAAGAAAGAAAAAGAAACATCAATTGTCCAAGTAGCTATTAAGGATTGAATTCTAAAAAACTCTCCAATTTTTTCAGATAAGCTAAAATATTTGTTTTCTCTCATCATCATCAAACTTTTTTCTTACAGATAAAAGAAAAAGTTTTCAGCAATGTGCTACAGATATCTATTCTTGGCAGTGTACAAACTTACAGCCATATCACTTTGAAATGCCAGTTCTCATACAATCATCAAAGTTAAGCAACATTGAGCCTCGTCAGTGCCTAGATGGGTGGCCACTTGGGAATACCAAGAGCTGTAATGGATGACAATTCAAAATTGGAAATCAGAGAGCCGAGTTCTAATTCCAGTTATTCACTTATGTGTAAATACTCTTGTTAAATGTATGAAGCCATCTTTTCTCCCTCAGCTATATGTTAATTAGTAGGATTTGTATGAGCAAATCATTATCTCCAAAAAATTCTTATAATCTAAAAATATTTTCTAACTTTAAATAATCTGCAAAAGGTTTATTACTGGTAAAAAAAAAACCCAAATAAATCAATCTTGTTAGTGTGCAACCATTTTGAATATACACCCTTCACCTTTTCTTCAGTCAACCTCATATTCTAGCCTTGTCTCCTTGTGTCCATCTGGTGATATTGATGGCCCACCTGTTGTCTTGTTCATCTGTGTTTAGCATATTGGATGGATGGAATTATGTCAAAGACACTTGTTTGATGTTTCTGCCAGATGTTGTGCTGTCTCAATGTAATGTCTAATATTATCTGTTCTATGTTCCCCTAGGCTAGAATGTACATCTCTGTTTAACATTGAGTCATGAAGCCACATTGTAATTTGGAGGATGCATTCATGGAAAGCTATCATTTTGTGTAACATAATAAAATTAAAATGGACAAAGTACCAAACAGTCTTCAGGAGAAGAAAAAAAAAAACGCACTTCAATTCCATGTCCTTGTAAGCCTAAAGACAGCCATCAAAAAAACACAATTTTCTTTTTGCTGTTTAACTAAAGACATTAAAATCTTTGGTTTAAACAACATAGGAAACAACAGTCAATCTACTTCCAGAAATTGAAACACGAGCCAAGATTTATTGCATTTTTAAAATCTATTTTGCTCTTTTTTAGTAAGAGTCTTATTTACATATTTTTTTCCAGACTAACTTTTCTATGAAATAGGTCTACAGCCATTTCTTATCATAGCTATTAATCTAAACTAGGTAACACCAAAAATTTTCTAAAAAGGAGTATACCATGATGAAAGAAAAAGCCAAAAACTTGATAAAAACAAAGTTTTATTATCAAAATGTTTGTTATTATTAAGAGGAAAGACCAAAGTATATTTTTTCCTTATTTTTTAATCCTTTCTAGCATGTTGGAAATTTTGGTTAAAAATTTTGATTTTCTTTGTCAGTGGCAGGGCCAAATATTACCATGAGAAATTTAACATTTTTTGCAGTAAAAAACACATTGTTTTGGAAATTCTTGCAAAAATCAAATAACTGTCAAATTTTAATGAAATTTTCAGGACTTATTCACAAATGACTTAAATTATTTTTGAAATTTTGTTTTTAGAAAAATCTTGGTAAAAAAGTTTTTCCATGTCTGTTATCCCCATCTACTTAATTTTATGAAATTTAGAGAAATTAAATTTTGAATTAAATTTTTATTCGAAATATTAAATTTAATATATTAGCTTGTAATTAAAACTAAAATAAAAACTTCAAGAAAGATTTTTCATTTATAAAAATTCATTTGAAACTTTAGGTGTCAAAAGAAAGGATTTTAAAAAAAAATATCTGTATAACATGCACAGTATATCAAATTGTTACACTCTGTTGCAATTAGATCTCATTCTGATCATTCTGCATGATGGCTGGATGTGAACACCTCGAAGGTAGAAAATGAAATTGAAGTTATTTTTTGCATACTGGACTCCATGCACTATGTCCAGTTTACAAAGTGAGCTTCAGTAGTAGTCAATCATGAATGTTCCTGCCAGTAAAAGAAACATCCATGGGGACTACCAGACCCACTTAAAAGCAGGCTCAGGGGATGCCCAGGATACAGATGCCACCCAGCGCAGTTGCCAGCCATCATGCAGGGCACTGCTTCTACCACTGCCATGGCCTTGTCACCATGACAGGAGTTATGGGCCAGCCACTATGCAGAGCCCTATTACCACCACCATTGATGCCTTCAACATCACCATTCAACATGACCACACATCTCAACAACCGTTACCACTTCTTGGCTTGACCTACCACCTTGGCTATCCAGCTTCAACTTGAAACATCTAAACCTCGATTCCTCCCAGCTGCAAGACTTCGTCGATAACATCACCTGCTGCCACCTCGGCAAACCTTGACTCATTTACAAGGCATAACCTTCGCAGTCAACCCCAGTGACATCCATTCCACAGAAGTCTACCTTGATTCATTTACAAGGCATTCCCTTCACAATCAACGCAGTGACATCTATTCCACAGAAAAGGCCTCCCAATACCCGCCATCATCTTGACCTACCATGACTCATTTACAAGGTATTCCCTTTGCAGTCAACCCCAGTGACATCTGCTCCACAGAACAGGTCTACCTTGACTCATTTTCAAGGTATTCTCTTCGCAGTCAACACCAGTGGCCTCCATTGAACAGAACAGGGCTACCAAGACCATGCCAATCCGACATCAACCCATTTCAACACAATAAGCCAACCAACCGACAAGATGAGCTACAACGGTGACCTCCATTATGTAAACATGCAAACTACCAGACCTGCTTAAAAGCAGGCTTTGAGGACAACCAGACACAGTTGCAGCTACTGGCGTAGCCATTAGCACGGCCACCGGGCATCATGCAGTGCACTGCTGCTGCTACCATGCCAACAGAGTTGTGGATCAGCCACCATATAAAGCACTACTACCACCACCACTCAGCATGACGACGCATATCAACAACCGTTACCACATCCTGGCTTGACCTAACACCCCAGCCTACCTTGACTCATTTACAAGGCATTCCCTTCACAGTCAACCCAAGCAACATTTGCCCCACAGAACAGCTCTATCTCAACTCCCTTTTCAAAGCATTCCCTTCACAGTTGATAACAGCAGCCTACATTCCACAGAATAGGGTTACCAAGACGATGCTAATCAGACGTCACCCTGTTTCAACACAACAGGCTGACCAACCAACAAGATAAACTACAACTGTGACCTCCCTCAACCAAATGTTCACTGACCATATCCCGTGACCTTGGCCATGCCGGCACAAGCAATGGTTCAATTCCCAACACTCCACATATATCTAATCGCTATTCCTCTACTCTTTACTAACAATAAAGTTGTTTTACTCTAATTCTCGTTATTCCTTTCTCTCGCTACCATACACTTAATATGACAAAATTTAGGCAACACCCAACACTTAATACTCTTTCAACAATTCTCACTCAATCATAAATTACACATATTTTATGCACATCAATATATAGAGCCATATGTACATTATTATTATGATATAACTTCTTATATTTCCAGCTTTCCTCATGATAACCATTAAATTTTGTTCTCTTGGCCAGTATTGAGCACCTCCTCCACACACCACTCAGATCAAAATTCCTGGACAGCATAAACAATATCACATGATTCTTTGCTCTACACAAAACTCATCATTTGTGAATGCTACCTCTGAGAAGAAAATAACCTTTCCTCTGCCACCAAGGGAGACAATTTGCCCACAATCAATACATTAATGTGAAAAGAAAAAAAAACAGGAAAGCAACATACATTCAAAGGTCTGTGTAATAGGCTGGCAATTATGTGTACTGAATAAACAACAGGTATCTATAAAGAGCAAAGCAAAGAAACAAAATAAAATCTCTGAGAATATTAACTGTAGTTTATTTCATCTCTGCAAGGTCTCCCTTTTTTTTCCCTCCTTTTATTATTATTTCATCTTTGGTCTTCATCACTTTCGATTGTTATCATGTAAACCTGGCTACCACCTTTTTACATCACTTCTTTGTGGGTGAGTAGAAACAGCTGGATGAGAACTGAAACAGATCATGTTTGATATGGGTGGTGGGGTGTGAGGATTTTGATCTGCTTTTAGAACTGACCAATACAGGGAGGGGTTGCAATGACTGCTTACTGCTTGTTTGCTAATCTAAGCTCATTTCAACTCTCCCTATCTCTCCTACTTGCCAGGCTTTTCAATTACAAATATTCAGTTTCTAAATCAAAGGTGTCTTTTGTAAAAGTATACCAAATGGGAAACTTGGAAACATCAAGAAACACAGATATTTTATGTATGAAGATAAATACAAGCATATCAAATGAGGTTAATGAGAAATGACAAGAAAGTTTATTAATGTATTTTAAAGATTTCCTTTAGAAAGCCTATCTATGTGTTTGTATGTGCGCATACACTCATATCTATCAATATATGCTATAATAAGAAATAGAATAAAAAATGGTGTATATCCTGTTTTCTAAACTTGCCACCAAAAATTTAAATTACCTTACTACTTATTAACAAGTCTATCTAGATGGAAAAAATTCACCTGCAAAGTTTAATAACAAAAATTGCTTGATTTTGTTGTATCCCATGAATTACACTGAGGTTTCTTAAGAAGAAAGGACCTCCAATCTGTGGTTGACTAGGGCAGGAAATGGCTTTTAAATTTTAATGCTTCCAAAATGAAACTGTTCTCCTTTATCCAACACAGAGATCCCTTCCTGTCTCCCATCAGAATGACTGATTCCCAACTCCTTGAGAGCGCCTCGTTACACCTGCTTGGTCTCACACTCTCCACTGACATGAGGTCAAATAAATACATTGAATCCATAGCTTCATCTACCGCAAGGAAAGTTGGCTCTCTATGTTGTGCAAGAAAGTTTTTCTCATCTGAGTCCATCTTTCAAATCTATAAATCAACCATCCATCCTTGCATGGAATATTGCCATCGTATATGGTCCGGTGTTCTCGCTGTATGTTTTGAGGTCCTTGACAATATCCAGAGATGAATATGCAAGATGATAGGTCCTGATTTGGCATCTAGTCTACAATTGCTATCCCACAGACATGCTGTGACCTCACTCTGTTTCTTCTACAAATATTTTCACAGCAACTGTTCTGATGAGCTATTTTCACTGGTTCCTGGACTACATGAATTTAAATGTGCTACCAGGCTGGCAACTCAGTCCCACCCTTTCACTGTCAAAACAGTTAAATATAACTGTCTCTTCTACTCGAACAGCTTCTTTTCCGACACTTCTCATCTGTAGAACTCCCTTTTCTTTA